GTGGAGTCTGATGGGGTGCCATGCCCTGGCCCCAAAGTCTATTTTTGGTATTCCCTGGGGACTTCCTTGCTCTGCTCCCTTGCTGTTCTGTTACACGCCCTTAGTGTTTTGCCTCGGTGTGGTGGGGTCAGATGGGGCGCAGTTCCCACACTGTGTCTTCAGTAGCATGAAAGATTTTTTTTTTTAAGCAATAAATAGATTTTAAAGAATTTTAAAAATAAAATATGTATATACCTATGTTGAAAATGACAATGAATAAAAAGATTGGGGAAGAATTGAAGCATTTTAATTATGCTGCGGCTGAAGAATCCAGTACTGAAAAAACAACAAGTCTGCCTCGGAGGAAGCACAGCTGGAATGCTCCTTAGGAGCGAGGGTGATGGGACTCACGTACTTCGGATCAGTCCCTGGAAAAGAACACCAGGCTTGGTAAAGCAGAGGGTCACCAACAAAGTGGAAGACCTTCAACGAGCAGTTGCTGCAGTAAGTGGCTCACACCCAGGAAAGATAGCGAGGATGGCACAGTACCAAGCAGTGTTTCCTATTTACTTGAATAATAATGTGTCTCCTGTGTAAAATAGACAAACAAAATGATAACCCTACGTGAACAAGGGCTGTATCGGCTTCTTCACTCTGCATACCCCGTACCCAAAGCAGTCAACAACAAAAACCAAAAACGGCCTCTGACAGCAGTCGGAAGAGAAGTCTAACTCTTCAACGAGAAGTCAGTAAGAAGCCGAGCCCCACGTTCTGTCGTACACAGGGCACTATGTATAAGTCGGAAACGAATCAACTGCATTTCACAGCAAAAGGCTGTCCTGTTTCCTAGGATTATAACCACCCTACTTCCCTACTTGGAGGGAGCAGGGAGGTCATAACAACCTTCTAGGTTACAAAATAGAAAGTTTTAGAAACAAGGAGTTTTCTGAAATGATGGTGTTAATAAACAGTATTTGTATTTGTATTTAAGTAATTTTTTGTATTTCTTTGGACTATCAAATGCCCAAATTAGGAACTACTGCATTAATTCAGTCCTTCCCATCATGTACAACATGGCACACCCACAAAATAGGCTTAGAGATGCTTAGCAACTTGCCCAAGGTCACAAAGCTATTAAGTGCAGAGCTGAGAATCAAACCCTGGTCCCTTGTTCGAAAACCCATTCTACCTTTCTCAAAGTTAATGGATAGAATGAATTCAAACACTGATTCTCAAAGTTCCCCTGCTGTAGTCTCTCCCATTTCTGTTATTACAAGGTATTTATCATAAGACAGTTTCATATTGATATGAATAATAATCTAATGTATAAGACACACACATAACCATACCTCCAGAGGACAAAGACCCTATCTATTTTTTCACCTCTGTATACCCAACTCCTGGCACAGTCAATATAACAGACTGACTACGGGCTTTGACAGTAGTCAGAAGCATATATAACTGTTAAACAAGAAGTTATTTAAGAACCCTAGCCTCCATGATCCTGAGACCAGAAGAACTAGGTCCCAGGGCCCACCCTGTTATCTTTGTTTTACAGATAGAATATAGAATAAAACTCTAAATAATGAAAATTACTGGGGGAGGGGGTTGTGGGGAATCAGGCCTAGTGGTTTACTAGACTGGTGGCTCTGAGACACCATTCAGGCCTGGAACTGAACTCACGAAGAGGAATCAACTTTCAGTCAAATAGTAAACAGGCCTCTAAGATGAACAATACACCAGAAAGGTAGGCATTTGTTAGAACAATCTTAGAACCACTGCAGGACATCAAAAGGGTAGTCTTTGGCCACCAACAGCACTCAGCAGGCCGGGAGTGACAAGAAAGAAGGTCAAATGGAAACAGTAAGCACGGGGTGGAAAGGATTATTACACTGTAGGTATTGCAATCAATGCTACCAATCAACATGTGTATGAACTGCTGAACAGAAAACTAATGTATGCTGTAAACTCTCACCCAAATCACAATTAAAAGTGTTTAAAAGTTATTTCCTTAGTTTTCATTTCCTGATCTATGTCAGATGACGAGAGCCCAGCCCATAAGCCTGGCACGGGAGGTAAGTGACTTCGTGCGAACAAAGTGCAGCGTCTCCCACACAGCCCAAAGCAACGAAGCCAGGGTCCTCAGCATCGTGCTGTCCCACCACCACACCTACAGTGCATCAGCAAACTCCCCTCCCGTCTCGGGGAAAAAGGCAACTTTCTTTGCTCTTATTGCCACAACTCTAACACTCATGGCAAGGATATCCAATCAATACAACTATTATTCAAATTTATGCACAAACTACTAAAGCGAGGGATACAGAAATCAAAGAATTCTACCAAATTCTTCCGTCTACAATTGATCGAACATGAAAAAGCAAAATGTGTTGATGATCACTGGTGACTGGAGTACAAAAGCTGGAAACAGTGGGAGGAGCAGTAGTTGGAAAATATGGCTCTGATGACAGAAACGAAGCTGGGAATCACATGACAGATTTTGCAAAACCAGTAACTTCTCCATTGCAAATACCTTCTCTGGATTGGCACAGTGGCTTCAACAATGGGTTCAAACAATTGTGAGAAAGTTGCAGTCCCAGACAGTATTGTATTCTGTTCTGCACAGGCTCACTGTGAGTCACAACTGACTTCGGGGCACCTGACAACACACGACTGAAGGAAGAAGTGATACTGAAAGAAGTTCAAGCTGCACTAAAAGCATTAGTGACTCCTGGGGTGAGGACCAGGTAGTATGGCAGAGGCCAGACCAAATCCAGGCATATATATGGTAGCCAACTAAAAAGGTGGGAGGGGAGGGGGGAAAAAAAGAAATTAGTAGCGTGGGAACAGGGCATTAACCCACCCAAGGGGAGGATATTGTTTATATCTCCACAGGGAAAGAGGGACCAGACTTCAACCCGGTACACCAAGATGTGAATGCAACATACCAGCATGAACCAGGGAACCAGTAGAGGTTTGAAGGACCGGCCCCAATCCC